GGCCTCTCCACTTCTGTCGCCAAGTACGTCGCTTCCTGCGCGTCATGTCAGCACCGAAAACGTACCACGTCTCTTCCTGCGAGGCCATTGCAACCACTGCCGTGCCCGTCCACTCCCTTTGAATTTGTGGGCATAGGCTTCTACAGACCTCTTCCGCTTACGCCAGCCGGTCACCGTTCGATTGTTACTGCCGTAGACCACCTTACTCGCAACGCGGAAGACGGCAGCTTTTTCATCTTGTGCTTCCTCTGAAGTAGCCGATTTTTTCCTTCGCGCCATTATTCTACGACATGGCGCACCGCATGTGCTCCTTAGTGATTGTGGCAAGACATTTAATTCTTTCTTATGTCCTTGCTGAAGTCTTACAGGCCTCTAACACCATCCACAAGACCACATCAGCGTATCACCCAGAAACTATTGGTCTGACTGAGCGTTTCCACCGAACTTTGTCCGACATGATCTCTATGTACGTGCAACCGGATCACAAAAACTGGGACACAATACTTCCTTTCGTCACGTTCGCATATAATACTGCCATACAGGGTACGACGAATTTGAGCCCTTTTTTTCTCGTGTATGGCCGTGTACCGACTTTTGTTCTGGACACCACCTTTTTGTCCACATCTTCCAATCCATCTTCATCTCTCCCAGAAGAGTTTGTCGCTCGCATCGCCCGCTGCCATGAAATCGGCCGCGCCAACACTGCTACCATTCAGGACAAGAGAAAAATCGACATTGATGCAAAGCGCCGAGTTGTGTTCCGCCCAGGCGACGAAGTCCTTTTGTGGACACCTGTTCGTGTACCTGGGCTCTGCGAAAAATTCCTTCACCGATATCTCGATCCATACACCGTCCTGGAACGAACATCTGAAGTCAGCTATCGCGTTGCTCCTGTCAACGCAGCTCCTGATCACTGTCGCCGCCACGCCGAGATCGCCCACGTCTCTCGACTGAAACGATATATTCGGGGTCCCTAACCCTTTCTAACTTGCTGCCCTCTTTCGCGAAGGAGGGAAAATAGGGTGAGCACTGACTATGTACTTCATCTTCATCTGTATGACCAAACCATTGTAGTGATCATCATCGTATGTCACGCGGGCTGGCTCTCTGGCTCGTGCGTCTGGATTAAAAAAGATAACCTGGTTGCTGCCGTACCAGACGTGGTCTCATAATATCAGCGACGCCCTTGGAACATTAATGTTGCACTGTTTAAATAAATACTTTGCACGAAAATTAATTAAAAGTATAATATTTGGCTGGGCTTGAACTGACGACCTCACCGTCCTGCACGCGCTGCAGTTAGCCGACTACCCCACTGCTGCCGATCGGCTTGGTGGGTTTAACAAGCCGGTTTTGAATTGTCACGCTGGACGTAACTCTAACGTCTTATTTTTACGTTGGGACGTCGCTTTAACGGCTTCTACCGTTACGTCTAGACGTAGCTTTTGCAAGAGGTGAAAGTTACGTCCAGCCGTAACAATAATCTGCTGCTAAGGTTACGTCCGTCGTGTGGTTCACGTGTGGTTCGCACTTGAGTTTGATAATCACATGGCAGTCTCGAACCTTTGCTCGTGTGTCACTGGGATAATTTCGCTTTGCGATGCGCTTGCTACAGCAGAACTGTACGGCGCTGTAGCAACGCAGGTTTTGCGCGTCCGCCGTGGCCACGAAGTCTATTTTCTTAAGAAAAAATATATATATACGCGACAGCTCTTGGAACATTAATGCTGCACTGTTGAAAAAATACTTCTGCAAAAAAATAATAAATAAAATAAAAATATTTGGTTGGGCTTGAACCAACAACCTCACCGTCCTGCACGAGCTGAGCTGTTAGCCAACTACATCACTGCTGCCGATCGGGTTCGGCGAGTTTAACCAGCCGGTTTTGTATTGTCACGCTGGACGTAACTCTAACTTGTCTTATTTTTACGTCTGGACGTAACTTTAACGGCTTCTATTGTTATGTCTAGACGTAACGCTAGACACTCCCTTTCCAGGAATAATCATTGATTAATATGTGGGGTTTAACGTCCCAAAACCACCATATGATTATGAAAGATGCCATAGTGGAGGGCTTCCAGAAATTTCGACCAGCTGGAGTTCTTTAACGTGCACCCAAATCTGAGCACACAGGCCTACAACATTTCCGCCTCCATCGGAAATGCAGCCGCCACAGCCGGGATTTGATCCCGCAACCTGCGGGTCAGCAGCCGAGTACCTTAGCCACTAGACCACCGCGGTGGGGCCATTTCCAGAAATAAAAAAAAAAACTTGAATTAACAATAATGTTCACACCCAGAGATATGCTCCAAGACTAACTTGCGTAACTCCGAAACATACCCTGGGGTTCTCCAAAGGTGTTCCAAGACTCCCCTTTTTACCCCTTCAAACTGCTCTGAAACAGCATTATTTGTGCTCCTTGAGTTGCTTGAAAAGACTGAACTCCGCATTCACCCCTGCACCTTTACATGGGCATTTTGGTAGCGAAAGCATCACTTGATGAAAACCACTATAATCTGGGAGCTATTTTCACATTCTCCATCTAATGAACATGTTTACTTCGGCGGCATTCATTTACTCGAAAAAGTGGCGAGCCGTGATGTCGCGGCACTTTTGACCACGTCGATGCACCGAATCCGCCAGCACATTACCGGCCTAAAAAGAATGAATGTGGACAAAATGTACAGAAACAGGACTCTCAAACAAACTTGACAAGTCTGAACTTGCGTATGAATGTGTTGAGACGTTTGGAGAACGTTTTAGGGAATGCGTACCGACTTTCGAGGCGTGCAGGTGGGTGGCCACGTTATACTTAATTCAAGTGCTAACTTGATTAGAGTTCATGCACAGTCTCAGAGATGTGCGTCCAAAAGCAGATTTCTGGAGCCAGTCGTCGTTGTGGCGAAACGCACTCCGTCTTTTTCATTTGTATTGAGAGTTGTAAAAGCTTCGCGATGTTAAAATGTCTTTGTGGAAGAAAGATTAAAAACTGGGCGGTGCGCCACTCGCCGAGCTCCAGTCAGTCTCAAGAAGCTGAAGCAGACAGTCCACTAAGTGGACATCACGAGAACTGCGCTCCTGGTTGCATCTGCATCTTGACCAAAGATTTGATTTGGCTAGACTTCAAGTGGCGAATTAACTCGAGCCAGTACTCTTGTGTCAACATTGATCGCATGCTTGTGCATCGATGACGATGTGGAGCTCTTAATTTACTGTTGCTCCAATGCAACTTATTTCTAGGGTGGACCTCAAATGGAAAATTAAAGGGGTACTGACATAAAAGATTTCAGGTCTCTTTTCATCGAATGAAACGCTAACCTCTCAAGAGCGTAGGAAATCTACTGCTATACTCGAGTGCGCTCTGAAAAAGTAATTATGGTATGTTTTTAAAAGATAGTTTCGGTTCCTAGACAGACGTCACGACACGATATGAGCTTCTCTTCATGTGCTCACGCATGATATTGTCACATTTATGCAACCACCATGCACAGTGGCTTCACTGGCGACATTTGAAATCAATTAATGGTTTCAAATGTCACCAGTGATTTAATGAAAAATCAATATGATAAGTTTATTAAAAGAGAAGACCGTTTCCTTGTAAACAGCTGGAATCTTTGCAGCACCTGGTGGAGCTGTTCTCAACTGCCCGCTCCTTTCTGCATGACCTCAGAGGTTCACTTCAGCAGCAACAGTAGTTAAGGGCAGACATGGCTTGTGGAGATATTTTCTGTATTTTATGTCCAGACATGATTAAACTAAACAGGCTTGTTCAGTTTTTTATGGTGATTTTAAGTGTGCAAGAATCTTCTTGTAGTTAAACTGGTTTACAATGTACACAAAGCTGCCTCTCTATTGTTTATAGACAGTACGAACAACATTAAACAAAAATTACATATTACTGGATAGCTATATACTACAATTTCAATAACTGCAATGCTGCAAACTGTTTTCAGATGAAATCAGAACTAGTAGTTCTTCAGATCAAAAATTGAAAAATTTATGAGCAGATGAGAATTCTGTTCTAAAAATTTTGTATTCACATTTAGGTCTTTATGTTAAAAAAATTAAATACAACTCCAGGTGTTCTAGATCATGAGATATCTCTACAACAAGCTAAATAAGTGACCCAACATTTTTCTATGATGACTTTTTTGCTATTCACCAACATCCGAAACCAGGGTACATGAATGCTGAGGTGAGAGTGGTACTGACACAAAATTTCATGGTTGAGGTAGCTTGCACGATCTGTTCCCGTGAACATGCTGTACATCATCTGCAAAATATCAACAGCTAATATAGCTTGGAAGGTATATTACAGAAATTTCGAAGTTTGAAGAATTTTGAAGCTGTTGACATCATTAGAAGCGATCCCTTGGAGATCCCCTTACTTCCCTCATGTCACCCCGCTGCAGTCAATAAAAGAAGTTATGATGACATCATAGCCGCCATTTTTCTTTTGCCATGTTTGTTCCAACAGTCTATACTTCTCGGCGGCTGGTCATGAGTGCGTGGCTCCGGCGCATGCATTGAAAGTTTTGTGTTTGGCGACACTGCAGCCCTGTTTCCTATTCAAAGAAACTTCATGATGCGAACCGTGCAGAATTGCATCACAATCTATGTGCTGATGTAGTCGAGAGCTGCTCACGCTAGGTGGCAATAGCTGCACCCTGGGGATTGTCGTTTTTGGAGCTCTCTCAAACTGAAACTGGTCAATAATGAGGGGCTTGTAATTAATTTTCTGTTGTGTGCTGCAGCAATTGAAATGCTGTGTTATGGCTGCCAGGCGCCCAGCAACACGTTGCAGCAAGAAAACGTGAGACCAAAGTTTGTGTCAGTATCCCTTTGTCGTAGATCCGGATTTCCACGAATTTTTTTCTCTCACCAATGTCTGTGTGTAATAAAGACTATGGTATTTGATGAATGTGTTATGATGAAGCTACAAAGCAGTAATGCTTTGGCGAGAACAACACGTTTTCTGGTAACCATTGGTCACCTTGCAGGCAGGCGTCGAGGACAGATCGTTACATGAGCAGGCACAGGAGGCGGCGCTGGCTCTGGGTCGCATCTTTCAGGTACGCGACGACTACATAGACTGCTTTGGCTCGGTCGAAGAGATTGGTAAAGTGGGCACTGACATTGTGGATGGCAAGTACTCCTGGCTTCTGGTCACTGCCCTTCAAGTGGCGTCGCCCAAGCAGACTGAAACCATAATGGTGAGTTACCTCCTCAAACCAATAATCGAATTTGGCTGAGGTAATGGTAAATCAAGGAGTAATGATGCCAAACTGAAATATTTTTGACTTGTTCTAAATAAAAACACGGGTGTCAAGAACCGTTCAATAGTGTTGTAGTGCTTAGGATTTCATTAAATATACGATAGACTCATTAAATTGAAACTGAAGGGACCGGGAAAATATGTTCATTTAACAGGAGTTCTGTTTACCTCGAGATGGTTCACTGAGAGATGTTTTCTGAGAGAACAGGGGTGCAGAATACAACTATGAAATCAGTCATATCAGAGGCAATTGTTGCATTTAAGCAGCAGTTCCATTTGACAGATTTCCATCTACCGAGAGTCCTGCCTAGTGCGAAATTCCGCGACATCGGGCACGAGTGATGCAAAAGATCATCACGTGATGACATCACCATATCACGTCACAAATTCTGCAGTGACATCAGGTTGCGTAATGCTGCAGGAACGAAACCGCACAGCGCGTGACCTTAAGAGTAGAAAATCATGCGCGGTGAACCAAGTCAACAGCTTCAAGTACTTAGGCGTAACGTTCACTAGTAATCTTTCCTGGAATTTGCACATAGATAACATCTGCTCCTCCGCTTTTCGAAAACTGTGTTTCTTGAGACACAAACTTCGTAATTCGCCTCCAAGTGTTAAACTTCTTTGCAACCATTCATACGTTAGACCAAAACTTGAGTATGCTGCTGTAGTATGGGACCCGTATACCAAAAATAACATTGATAAATTGGAAAAGATTCAGAGGAAAGCTGTCAGGTTCATTTTTTCAAAATTTCGTCGCACGGATTCTCCCTCTGAATTAATGATTGCCAATAACATTCCCAAGCTTCAGTTAAGAAGACAAAAATTTCGTCTCGATTTCCTCTCCTCACTTACTAAACATGAATTGGCTATCGACCCCTCCCTGTATATATCCGCCCTGACCACAAAACACACGCGGCACTATAACCCTAGATCGCTAACACCATATCAAGCGCATACCGATACTTACAAATTTTCATTTTTCCCGCGTACCGTGGCTGAATGGAATTCCATTGCTGAGCCATACTTATTAGATACTGTATAGCCCCATTTTTCGTTAGTGTTGTTATTTGTGTTGGATTGGCAATGCAATGTCCGCCGTTTCATTTTTTGTCCCTTTTGCTATTTTTGTATTATTGTGCTATTCAAATGCTCGTCCTGCCAGGACCACAACTGTGGTCTGCAGTATGTATTAAATAAAATAAAATAAATAAGTCCCTGTGCAGAGCTATGATATGTGGAAATTGTATACAGTGTTCATTCGAACCCAAAATAATAAAAGTGCGACAAAGTAATTGTTGTGGCTGAGGCATGTTCAAATTCTTCATGAGAACTAACATACAATAATGCCAGGGAAAGTATAAGAGATGATACTAGGAGTAATTGTAATGTAAATTTGAAGAAAGAGTATTCTACCACTGAGTCACATTGGCACTTTAAATTTGAAAAAAGAAATGTGGATGAAAAGATAACTTGCCACCGGCAGGATCTGAACCTGCGACCTTCGAATAACGTGCCCACCGAGCGACAGAGATGGGCTAGCCAATTAGATTACTGTTTCAGCCCTGTTCACCGCCCCAACTTGCGTGCTTTTCCGCACGTTAGTATGTACAATGCATGGACGGACGCATGTTATCAATTCGGACTTTATACGAAACGTGACTGCAACTGCAAGAACTTGCCAAGAGTGTCTATAAAATTGATATCGCAGCAAAAGAAAATCAAAACAGAAGCATTGCACTGATAATTTTTGCAAGTACTTATATTTACACAGCATGCACGCTTGCTGTTAGCTTTCCTATTGCAATCCCTTTTTTCGCTGTCCTCATATGTTCAATGCCATGGCTTGTTTATTACGAGTTTAATCTACGAAATACGAGTGACAGTTAAAAGTCCATCAGTTTTTCCAGTTCTGCTTATAATAAGAGCATTTGGGCTTCTTTTTCGCTTAGCCGTTGTAGAATTTTCTAGCTGTTTGTCACATTTCTGGGGCTTATTTTCATTTTTGCAATAGATATGGTTGTTTTAGTGACCATCACATTCACCAGTAGCGCATTTTCTGTTCACTATTAGCACATTTTTCTATGAATTTGGATAGTTTAGTGTTGAAGTCAAACATACATTGGGGATGATTAACAAGTATTGCAAATTATGCTCTGGCAAATGAGCATTCAACCAAATGGACACTGCCCTAAAGTGGATATGTGCTTTCCTTTATAGTTGCGAATATTCTCGCTTTACAAAATACAGTTGAATCTCATTAATTCGAACACACTTGATTCGAACTTCGGCTTAATTCGAACTCACGATGAGGTCCCGTGTATTCCAATGGGCGAAAACCCCCCGTAATTTGAACGCACAAGCACTTGCGACGGTTAGGTCAAACATAGCACGCTCCAAAATGCTCTCAGCACCCCGCCCAATCCCACAGCGGCACCTGCGACACCTCAATGCTGTGCACGAAGGAAATGAAAAGGAAAGAAAAGGCTGCAGTGGAATGTTTGCTCTCTCTCGAATGCCGATCTGAGACGCGCCCGTGTCACGCTTCTCCCTTTTCCGTCCCTGCCACGTAAAGACCCTTCTCCTTCCAACGTCGTGCGCGGAGAGAGAGGAAAAAAAGGAAAAGAAAGCCGTCGCTGGACTGAACAAATGGTGGTTGAAGGAAAGGAAAAAGGCACTGTCCTCTGCAGCCCTTGCGGGAGCACAGCTCTACGCCTTAAAGGCGGGGGGGTCTCTCCTACGTTGGTGCCATGCTTCCCCCTTTCGCGACTCTGCCACGTAACTATTTTCCTTTCAACAATGCGCGCAAAGAAAAAAAAAGCTGCAGTGGAGTGTTGGTTTTCTCTCAAATGCCGATCTGCTTCTCTCCGCGTGTAGACGCTCATCCTTCCCAGTCACGTTTTGGCCATGCTAAGGCTGAGGCTCCGCTACGCAGTCGTTGTTGTAGTCTTTAGAAAGTGTCGGCGCTGGCCATTTCCGAGCGCAACCTCTCTTGACAGGAGAATGCTGAAGCTGAAATAGAAATGCTTCGCAAGCTGCGTGCGAAATTGATTGACTTCTGCAAGGCAAACGTGTGCCGACGCGCATCATGGATTACTTCAATTAATAACGGATGTCCTGTGATTTGTGATTAAATGGCAGTCTTCTGAAACTTCCCCCTCGTGTGTTAGCTCAATGCACATGTGCCACTGCATGGAGAACCCTCTGTTTATTTAGATTTTCTTAATTCGATCTTCTTTTAATTCGAACAAATTTTCGGGCCCATTCGAGTTCGTATTATTGAGATTTGACTGTAATTAAAGTGCCCCCTTTTTTTAACAAATGATGGGACTTGCTCTTCCAGAAGTGCTTCTTGCAAACATAGTCGCAAGACGTGAGCTCTCGATCTTTTCTTGCTATGGCACAAGCCCACACTTCAACCTGACATGGTCACTATAAATGTTGTAGGTAATTTGTAATTAGTTTCTTCAGACAGGATGCGTACCAACTGTCGCAGTTTGGTGCAGCACATTTCTGCACCAAATTTAAGAAGAACCGGTGGAAATATGCAAAGCACTTTTTTTTTGTGGCATGCAAAGCACGCGCGGGGATGAAGTCGGTGCTACGTGCGCTAAAGAGACAAGGAGCCTGAAAATTGTGAAGCAATGTGCAACAGCTTGCTTGACTGCATAGGTAACTTTCCCTCCCAAGGCTACCTATGCACACGTGCGCACATGCGAGCGAGGAGACCTATTCACGCTGAAGACGTCTGCCACAACCCGTAGCTCGTTTCAAGTGCTGTATGGCAGCTAAAATACTGGTGATGTTACAGACAGAAATCTGGGAAATATTTGCTATGTATGAGGTGGCATTTAAATTTTTGTGTACCGTTCAGGTAAGCAATGGCAGCACTCCAGAAGCGTCATATGTCGTGCTGTGGTGAAAACCGAATTTTCCCCGCCATGCTATTGCGCTGCCCACGTATGCCACCTGCCGCCTAGAAGGTTCACCTCAAGTATTTTTTCTTCCATGCTCTGAGCACATCTTTTTTATCTTCAAAGGTATGGCTTACTTTCAGTGTGATTGTGAGCGAGCGCACTGGGCACGTGGCATCATCTCCCGGCAGCCGTGGTGGCTACACAGCTTACGATGCTCGAGTCAGCCAGTGGCTGTGGAGTTTGGGTACATGGTGCAGCTATTTGGATATACGGCATAATTTGTAAAAAGTAGGGAGAATGATTTCTAGCCAACTCTGAGAATCGTCAATTCCAGGCCACACGTTTGGCTTGCGCATCCTTAGGAGCCTTAAAGGGGCACTAATGAGCAAAATGAGTTTTCACATTTTAGTAAAGTATGATTTCACAATTCCAAAAACACTCACCATTGTCGCAACTTGGTGAGTGGTGAAAAAACATGCGGAGAGGAAATGCAAAAAAGCAAAGCCACTTTGGGATTCCCACACCAAGCACCATGACATAAGAAATTTCTAAGGTGTCAACTGGGTCCTACTTGCCTTCCAATCGATAAAAATTGTAATCTGTGGGAGCCATAGACATAGCATATGAAGGTTCAGAAAATTTCATTAAGCGAGCACCACAAAAATGACAAAAATTCTTACGTTGCGTGCGGAGATTTAAGCGAGAGATTTAAAAATTAAACTTCAACCTCGATTTTCTCCGCTAATTATGGACTTATATCATAGTGAAACATGGCATTAGAGTTCTCCGAGTGCAGTTTGCCAATCTAAACCAATGTCATTGTTCCTCTTTAGTGTCGTTGCTTCAACTACCGATTGGCAGCATTTTCAGACTATGCTGAAAAATTGTTGAAGGGGCCCTCTAAAAATCCTACCCTAATAAGCGTAAAAGTGGTGGTTGCATTATACCATCATGCATGCGTGGTTACGCCAACGATTTGTTGTTTCAGGCGCACATCGGACGCGGTGCTCCCGGTGGCACTGATGAGGCTGCAGTGAAAGCCGTCTACAGGGAGCTAGATCTCCCAGGTCACTATGCGACCTACCGCGAACGTGCCCTTCGTGACCTAGACGCCCAAATCAACAGGCTGCCCTCCAATCTGGCGGATGTGTTGCGTCTCCAGAAGGATGCGTTATTGAAGCTGGACTTGTAGTGATGTTACTTATTCCCTTCTTCTTTTTTATGGACGTTCCCACCTCTTTTCCATTTCTGATGGACATTAACACCAGCCGCGAATGTGAATGTACATTAAAACCACTTGTATTTGCCAGCAGTGCGTTGCATGTGATTAATTTTCATTGGTCCATGAATGAAATGCCTCTGTACCTAGAGATGATTTCTTCCTTGCAGTGAAAGACAAAGACAAGATGATTTCTTCCTTGCAGTGAAAGACTAACTCCCCAAGCTCTCTGTGCCAGCAAAGCTGGCTCGTCATAGCAAGCTTGAATGCATTTTGACAGTACGAGTTTCACTAATGTCAAGCTTGGACAGCTAAGCAGTTTTGGTGTTACACTGTTGAAATGTGGTGACCATGACTAGGGATAGCGAGCGACAATGCATCATGGCTGTGCTCCTTTGAGCGCACTTGCATTTAAAAGCCAGCGTCACAGAAATTTCAGTGTCAGCGGTGTTGGCAATGAACGAAAAATTTGCACTTTGCTGTAAGTAGGTATCACAATTACAGCAAATGATAAAACGCATAGTTACAAGCAGTATTGAACCTCTGCCTTCTGTGAGGCAAGCAGGTGTTCTGTTGCACAGCCATGCCAGTGCTTGAAGTTGCTTTGGAAAACAAAGCACTTTCAAGCTTCGGCAATACAGGCGTCATTTCGGGCAAGGAGTCGCAGTACCAGATGTAATATCACTGGGCCTGTGAAAATATTCGAATGCTTCTAATATTAGAGCATTGAAAATTATTGAAGTATTTGTAATGAACGAATATGTGCATGTTTGTACACTTGCAATTCCCTATAAAGTGGTTTCACTGCAGTGGAGTGCTAAACCGTGAAACCATTTATTATCATTTTATTCATGTACATAAATAACACGAAAACAGAGGAAATAAGTTGGGAACACGCTGACAACTGCCACCTATAGCGGCACAACGCCTGCCTGCACCTTCGGGAAGGCCAGGCATAGAGGAAAGGGAGAAGGAAAGAGAAAAGAAAAGTAAAAAAAAGGGCGAAAATACAAGCTGTAACAAGCATGCTCTTCGGAAGGAGTTTCAGCAAAAAACTTGCCAGGGCAAGCAAGACAGCTGCAGCACAGAAAACAAGAGGCCGAGAGCGCAACACACGAACTTCGTCGTCTTTTCTCTTCCCTGGCACAGAACTAGCGCTGATGTGCACCGGTAAAATTTCCTCCCTGCACAAAAAGGAGCCATCCTGGCGACGGCGACTTAAGGAAAAGACGCTATAGGTGGGTCGTGGCAGGGTTTAAGTTGTGTGACGTGAACTGTTTCGCGGCCTCGGCAGCGATCATCGGGCGATGGGTTGACCGGCTCGAACGACGTAGTTTACGGGAGATGTCTACTCCAGTATGCGGTAAGGACCATGGTACCGTGACAAAAGCTTAGTGGGAAGTCCGGGAGTTGTGGACGGGACCCAAAGCCAAACCAGCTTTCCCGGGGAGTAATCGGCATCTGAAGCAGCTGTGTCATGATAGAATTTTTGGCGCGACTGATCTTGCCTGGTGTACGAGCGAGCCAGTTTACGGCACTCTTCAGCGTAAGCAGTAGTTTGAGAGATGGGTTTGCCCTCAGGAACGTCCGGTTTGTACGGCAGAATGGTGTCCAGAGAACATGAAGATTCACGTCCATACAGGAGAAAGAAGGGAGAGAAGCCAGTGGTAGTTTGAGACGCAGAGTTGTAAGCGCAGGTGACGAAAAAAAGTACGCGGTCCCAGTTTGTGTGGTCTTCCGACATGTACATCGCCAACATGTCGGCAAGGGTACGATTGAAGCGAAGCGGTGCGGTGTACAATGCGGCATTCTTGAGCATAGCCTCGATGGCATTTGAGAGGAAGACGCGGCCACGGTCACTAAGTAATTCACGTGGGGCCCCATGGCGCAGAATGCGATGACGAAGTAGGAACCAGGTGACGTCTTTCGCGGTGGTGGCTGGTAGCGTAGATGTTTCTGCGTACCGCGTGAGGTGGTCGATGGCGACTATTATCCAGCAGTTGCCGTCAATAGTGGTCGGGAGTGGACCCACGAGATCGACTCCGACGCGTTCGAATGGTCGGGCAGGGCAATGGCTGTAGACGACCAGCGGTGCTGTGAGTAGGAACCTTGCGACGTTGGCACTCCGGGCACGACTGAACGTACCGGCGAACGTATCGATACATGCCTCGCCAGTAGTACCTCAGGCAAAGACGCGAGTACGTCTTGAACGAGCCAGCGTGACCGCACTGAGGGTCGTCGTGGAAGGCACTGCAAATGTCCTGCGCGCAAATGACGGGGGATCACGAGGAGCCACTTGCGGCCTTCGATCAGGTAATTGCGACGATACAGAAAGCCTTCACAAAGCGCGAAGTGTTAGACGACGACGTAGGGTGCGTGAGGTGGAGTTTGGGCCCCGTTGAGACAAAATGTCAAGCAGGGGAGCGATCCAGGGATCTTTGCGCTGTTCTTCCGGCATGTTGATGATGGCCAGAGATGATGAATAAGAAGTGGAAGCTGGTGAGCCGGCAGTGTCAGAAGGCAGTGGCGATCGAGATAAGGCGTCAGCGTCCGAGTGTTTTCGTCCAGAGCGATGAACCACACATATATCGTACTCCTGTAATCGTAAGGCCCAGGAGCCAGGCATCCAGTCGGGTCTTTCAAGGACGACAGCCAGCATAGCGCGTGGTGGTCGGTAACAACATCGAACTGACGCCCATAGAGGTAGGTCCGAAATTTACCGATTGCCCAAACAATTGCCAAACACTCCTTTTCTGTGACGGGGTAATTTGACTCCGCCTTTGTGAGCGTACGACTGGCATATGCTACAACGTACTCGCCAAAGTCTGGTTTTCGCTGGGCGAGTACCGCGCCAAGGTCGACACCGCTAGCGTCCGTGTGTATTTCTGTAGGTGCGTTGGGGGTCATAGTGGCGCAGAATTGGAGGAGATGTGAGGAGTAGGCAAGGCTTCGTAAATGACTCATCGCAATCGGCACTCCAAGCTGAGAGGTCGTTGCTGCGGGCGAGAAGCTGTGTCAAGGGGGATATAATGGAGGCGAAATTGCGGATGAAGCGCCGAAAATATGAACACAGCCCAATAAAGCTTTGGAGTTCCTTTAGAGTGCTGGGCTTGGGATATTCAGCAACAGCTCTAAGTTTGGCAGGATCTGGTGAAATTCCTTCTTTGGAGACGATGTAGCCTAGGGTGGTAAGCTGACGGACGCTAAAATGACATTTCTTAAGGTTTAACTGCAAGCCGGCGTTAGTGAGGCACTCGAGAACTTGTTCAAGGCGAGCGATATGAGAGGGGAAATCTGCACAAAAAACCACTATGTCATCAAAGTAAGCATAGACAGGTCTGCCATTTGAGGCCTCTGAAAATGGTGTCCATCATCCTTTCAAAGGTAGCAGGCGCGTTGCAAAGGCCGAAAGGCATTACGTTAAATTCGCATAAACCGTCAGGAATGACGAACGCCGTTTCCGGACGGTCGGCTTCAGCCATGGACACTTGCCAGTAGCCTGAGCGCAAATCCAGTGATGAGAAATATTCGGCTCCTTGAAGGCAGTCCAGGGCGTCGTCGATGTGGGGTAGGGGATAAACATCCTTCCGTGTAATCTTGTTTAGGCGGCGGTAGTCAACACGAAATCTTATTGAACCATCTTTTTACCGCACCAGCACGACAGAAGAGGCCCAGGGACTGTTCGATTCCTGAATCAGCGCCACGTTTCAGCATGTCATCGACGTTGTCGCTAATAACGCGGCGTTCGGCCTGCGATACCCGGAAGGGACGCTGTCGCAGGGGAGCATGATGACCGGTGTCAATACGATGAGCCACTGCAGACGTACGCCCCAATAATAGCTGGCCAATGTCGAAAGAGGCACGAAAGCGTTGAAGCAGTTGAACAACTTTTGTGCACTGGACTGGCGTAAGCGCGTTATCGATGCTACGCAGGAGAATGTCTTGGACAGGGGAGATTGTAGCCGTGGCTGAGGTGACGGCATTTATCGTCAACAGTGTCTTTTCGCACGTTGCATCCAAAGGGAAGATGGCCTCAAAACTGTCTAAAATATCCAACACATTCGCCGCGTAACAGAGTTGCCGAGCAAGGAAAGGGATTGCACGCGTAGACCACACCGGCACCATGCACAAGGGTAACGACGTCAAATGGGAGTATGAGGTTCCGTCGGCGTGCACAGCCTTCAGGCGGTGTAAACAGGGCGGTAAAATCACAAACTGAGTCAGAGTAAACAGACGCCAGGGTGGCAGAGAACGGAGAAATGATAGCGTCAGGAGCGACAACCAATTTAGGCACCGGGCTCGGGTCGTCGACGGCTGTGGTATTGAAAGGGGACAAAGCGAGTCGAGCTTCAGCGCAGTCAACGAGCGCATCATGTGTAGAAAGGAAGTCCCAAACGAAGATCGCGTCATGGGATGCATCTGGTAGGACAACGAATTCCACAATGTGTAATGCGTCGTTGATACCAAGACGTGCCGTGCACGCCGCCACAGGCTTAACCTGCTGCGAGCTCGCCGTCCGTAATAAAAGATCAGAAACGGGTGTCGTCACTTTGTGCAGTTTGCGGCACAAAAGATCACTTAAAACAGAAACGGCAGCTCCTGTGTCGACAAGAGCGTTCGTCGCAACACCATCAATAATAACCGCGATCTCGTTTGGAGGCGAAAGATGAGGCCTTGAAATTTTCGACGAGGGCGCAGTTCGTGCCTGAGGAACTGCGGCTCTTAGTTTACCTCTTGCGTGGGGTTGGTACGGCGGAGAATAGGAGAAATGGAGCAACGCCGGGGAGGAGGAGATCGACATGAGGGGGAACTAGCACAGCGAGAATAAGCGCCCGATGACTCGGCGGAAACAAGGTATGCTGGCTGCTGTGGCATGTAGTCGAGGTTGGGGATGTAATCATTGGCATAAAAACTGCGCTGACGACGACAGTGACGTGCAACATGGCCAGGAATGCCACAGGCGTAGCAGATGGGCCTGTTGTCTGGAGTGCACCAAGGGTTGTGAGGGGGTCCGGGAGGCGAGAGGGGTTGCGCGAGAACCGGGCGTATTTGGTGAACAGGGCAGTGGTGGAGAGTAGTTGGTGACTGGGGCGGATGGTGTTGGCGACGGTCGAGCATAGGAACAGGTAACGGCCTCAGCATAGGTGAGAGGCGCTGCAGGCTGCGTTGGTGGTACAGGAGGTGGAAATGCCTCAGCAACTTGAGCTTCAATGACACGACGGAGTGAGTGATCCAGTGCCGTGGGACTCTCGGTGACAGACGTGGCAATAGAGAGCTGACGAGCCACTTCCTCATGGATGTATTGCTTAATTTGCGGCAGTAAGGTGGAATATTCAGTGCCAGTGCTCTTAGCTTCCAAAGATCAAGTTCCACTGTGGGAATTCCGGCGCAATGGGTAGAAAGGCGCTCTTTGCGCAGCTCGTCAAAGCTTCGGCACAGTTCAATGACTTGCGCTACTGTCCGAGGGCACTTGGCTACCAGCATATGAAATGCATCGTCATCTATGCCTTTCAGTATGTGCCTTATTTTGTCAGACTCTGCCACAGACGCATTCACGCGTTTACACAGATCGATGACGTCCTCAATATACCTCGTAAACGTCTCACCGTTCCTCTGGGCTCTGGCACGGAGGCGATGTTCGGCGCGAAGCTTGCACAATTCAGGCCGACTGAAGAACGAAGCGACGATTTGCTTGAATGCCGACCAGGTGGTGAACTCGGCTTCATGGTTGTAGTACCATAGCTTCGCTACATCGGTCAGATAGGAGCCGACGCGCGTCAACTTAGCAGGGTCATCCCATTAGTTGAGACCGCTAACACGCACAAACTCTACCAGCCAGTCTTCGACGCCAAGTTCGTTGCCGCTGAACATCGGAGGGTCATGTTGACGAAGCGTCCCAGCACACATGATTGTAGGTGGTGCTTGGAAAGGAGCGGCGCTCTCGGCCATTCCGGGGGCAGATGGTAAAGTACCGCTGCGGAGCTCCAGGACGCAAAAGAGGAACGACCCAGCAGCGCTCCACCAAATGTAACAAGCGTGTTCTTCGGAGCAGTTTCAGCAAGAAACTCTCCAGGGCAAGCAAGACAGCTGCAGCACAGAAAATATGAGGCCGAGAGCGCGATACACGAACTTCGTCGTCTTTTCTCTCCCTGGCACAGAGCTAGCGCCGATGTGCACTGGTACAAAGCAAAGAAATTGTCACATGAAAAATAAAGTGTTGGCTACTCCTTAGCTCTCACAGGTGTTGAACATAGAGCCTATGAGGCCCGAATTTCTGAGCATAAAAGACCTGTAGCATGTATAATATGCAGTTTATTATAACTTTCAAAACATGACACTCAGGAACACTAAATTCAACGATCACATACATGTGAAGTCCTGTAAGATGCGAAATAGTTTGCGATGTCTTTGATTTCACAGGCTCTCTAGGTAAAAATCCTGGAAACAGACAAAACTGCGAAAAATGAGAGCTTCTGCGCCACTCGCTCGGGTTACTCTATGGAATTGCATTTATATTTAGCAGCATGACCCAGGAGCGACACTTCATTTAAGAGCTAAAGATCAAGAGTTATATTAATGCGACAGCGTTAAAGAGCTTGTTTAGCAGAAATTACAGCGACGGTGACACCACCTGAAAGCCATCTTGGAAACTACTCTATATTTTTTTTTTACCCTACATGAGACTAATTATTTCTCTTTTGCAAGAGGGGAAAAAAAGGACAGAAAAAAGGACCAACAAAACACTGGAACAAATGCCAAGCCGTATCTTTTTCTTCGTTTGCAATATTTCACGGTCTATTGCGAAGTATGTATACAGGACACGTGTGTCTGTAAAGCATGAAAGTTACTCTCGCTGCATTTACAAGCAGAGGAAGTTTTTTTTCACTATTCACAAGCAGAGGAGTGGCTGTGTGGTAGACCACCCGCTTGCCATGCAAACGACCTGGGTTGAATTCTCACTCAAACCCCAAATTTTTTTATTAGTTATTTCACTTGTCTCTTTCTTGATTTTTGGGCCACGACAAGATGATTTTGCACTCACAACCAATGATGCAGACACCGACACCAATGCCAAAATTTTTGCAGAGCGAGCTCTTCAACGCTATCGCGTTAACAATGGATAAACAAGGCACGAACTGAGTTTTAAATGCAATAATATATCTTTATTTATGAGCAGTGAAATTCAATTCCACAATATCTCCCTTGAAAGCTACTGTTATTACACGCCACTGTTAGTCTCACATGAGCATGGAAGGATGTCTTGAAGGGCAAGGATGGTACATGATACTGTGGTGAAACAGCAGAAAAACGAGATGAAGAAAGAATGTTCACACAGCACAAGTGCTGCACGAACAACTGTGTGCAAGTTTATTACACCAGGAAATATATAGCGAAACTGCATGAGTACAAGCTGTACTAAGCAAGTGGAAGTGTAGTACAAAAGTTGACACTGTATCAACCAGCTAGTAAGTACATGAACATTGCTGTGTGCACATGGCTCAAGGACACTTAAACGGTGAGAAAAATGCTAATTTGTGAAATTCTTAAGAAGTGAACCACATAGAATGCAGCATTAGTAAAGTTGAACTGCCCAGAAATACTGCATCCATTTCACAAAGCAGAGTTAAGTACCACATCTGGAATGTATATGCAATGTGGTAATATGAAATTTATTCAGCAAACGCAAGGGACACAGGCTGAGGATAACCTCTCCAATGACCCAAGTGCTCGAGGGCAAAAGGATTATGTTCCCAACTTCGGAACATGTAAACAAAAAATTACCAACTTCACTAGTATGCAACAAAAATTCTTGAAAACTTTATGCATTCTTAGCATGTGCACGTCGTTATTTCTGCTTACCCTGCAGCCAAATCGTAAAGCTGTTTCAAGCTAAAAATGTGGGGCATACGGTAAGTTAAAACATGATGTTAATTACAGGGTTAAAAAATGCCCCTGGGCAGCATAAAATCGATGAAGCAATGCTAAATGGTGCCATAGATAAGAATGCTTTTGATAATTTTTGTCAAAAAGTAAAAATGGCAGTGATGTGCATCTGATTGCCTCGATCTTTGCCACTTGGGTGCCGAGAGTTGGTGATGTGACTATGATTATGATTTGGCTATGATTTCTCATTTTTCCATAATACTGGACTAATGTGTTAGGCAAGGCCCACATCAAATGACCTGAAATTTCACCACAGTAAAAGATTCGTCAAACTCCATTGCTTTGACGTTAATGTGTCGTTACATTGAACAATGGATGACAAAGACTTATTGATTATGACTGTAAGCTTACTAAATATGGAAAAGAAATGTACAACTCTGTGTATGGCTGCATTTAAAATACTCCCACGTCTCACATTGACAATGAACAACTCTTTAGAAATTGTTAGCCTTGAACAAATAAGGCCCAATAAATTATTTTTGCAAAAATTCAATTTTTCTAAATTTTGATCTCAACCAACAAATCCAGCTGATGCTCAACGATTTGTTTTACGGGCCTAAAATCATCATTCTTATCTCGAAAATGACCCTAATGGACAATTTGAATTTCATCAGTCTGCGTGCGTCAAATGACCTCTAATGCTTATATGTCCAATGCAGCGGGTAGCAATGTGACCACATGAAATTTCGACCTCAACTGGAAAAACCATGGCTGCCGTGTTCGTCTGGGTGGTGCCAAGGAACTAGTGAATGCACCAAAGACTTCTTACCGACTGCCAAACATGCCTTTTTCAGGCCTGCTTCACGATATAACTTAGGAACAGAAAACTACTGCTTTTAATGAATCATTTCTGTGGTTATCCTATTTCTATCCACCACCAACCAGTTCGGTTCAATTCATCGCTGCCAATTCGTCTTCAGTGCGGAAGGCTTGAGCGAATCGTGAAATGCAGTGTTATGCAGTACAGAGTCACAAACTACCTAATGTGACAATCGCCAAACAGGCAGGCACTTAGAAAGCTGGCACAAAAATAGCTAATTATAGTTCTAATAGCAGCTGCATATCCCAGAAGCCCACGTGTTGTTCACTATAGCCACGTATTACAAAGAATGGCGACAATGACGCATTGCATTCCATCTTTGATTGAGGAGCTGATTAAAAAAGAAAAAAAGGAGAACTTTACAGGCTGAAGTGCAGGCAACAATAGTCAAAACGCGCTTTGGTGTTCTGTAGCGTACGCAACTCGACAAAACACTACCTGAACAAAAGACTCAACGGGTGCCTTTCTGCTTAACCACCCGCATTTACTGGTGTGAACTTGAAAATTTACTATGTGAAAATCGCACATCAGAGACATTGTCTTGCACCAGAAAATTGATTTCCCGGCATGCTATGCTACAAAAAGAATTATTCTACAATGAAAAACTTATGAGCCCACTTTGGTATTGCAGAATGAGAACTTCATGACTTTTGTTGGTCCAGTTAATACATGTAACAGAAGACTAAGTGGCATAAGCGTTCTGCAGCTAAGTCATTGCCTAGTAGTGTCAGGGAATATATAGACAATTTTTCTGAAGGCAAGAAATGCACGAAAGATATACAAAATACAAAAATATTAGCAGTTCAGAATTACATACTATGGTGGCTTTTTGCAGCCCTGCAGTATATTTGTCCTTGCCTCGTTCAAAAAAAAAACTATTACTTTGGTCGATGCAGCATGAGCTGGTGTGACTTGTGTTACTATCACTGTTAATTATAATTATGTATCACAATGCTAAACTTCCCTAACGACAGTCCCTTTCTTCCCAGGGCTCACCTTTGCATAGAGAAACATTGCACAATACAATGACCCAATATGAGAAGTTCAAACGTATTGACACAGCTAAAACATTGTACCTCTGTAGAAAGACCTAACGTAACACTCGATTGTGAACACTGCTTCTTGGATGTTCATGGACTCACAATAAAAACATGAGCAGGCTATAGGAAATTGTAGCAAGCTTGGTGGTTTAGAAAGGCTAAATAAATACAAAAGGATGAAATTCTGAACAAGAAAAACTTCTCTTTGTTCCAACTCCCAAAAGAGCTGGAGCTGGGAAAGCCTTTTGGACCCAAGCAGGCATGGCATCAACAAAAACAGTGTGTCAAAGGCTCAGCTCATGGCGTGTCGGCGAGTGTGTTCAGCGGCCAGCCGGTTGAACATGTCCCTCTGGTACTTGAACTGGTCAGCCTGGTGGGTCACAAAGAAATGTGGGCAGATTACATTAGTATCGCAAAGCTGGACAAATAGTGAAGCTCGTGGCCAATAAGTTTCTTAGCAATGCCCTAATTAGTCAGGTCGTAACTGGCATGATCATAATTTGTACAAACCTAATTAACAAAGTCTTATCTAAGCATGGTCGCAATTAGTCAGTAGCTTAATAGTTTTTAGTCAGCTAGTTCTCTCTATGACCTGCCTTAATTTTTATTTAGTTTTATTTATTTATCGATACTGCAGGCCAATATGCAGGCCCATACAATACTACAATGACAAAGCATTCACAAAAGACTAGCAATGCAAGAAGAAAAACATATAGTGCAAGACGCTTGCTTTGCAAAACAATTTACACTTATAACTGTGTGATAACCACAAAAGTTGATAACTATAAAAAAAACTCAACACAATAACAGGGCAATACAGACAGCATGAAATTTACGACAGAATTGCACGAAAAGTTAGCTTGATGTTAGCATAGTTCAGCTTAATTCGCTTGACTAAGCATAAAGACTAAGAACAAACATGAGAAGAGGACAAAAAAAAGCATGCACCAAAATATTGAAAAGCTTAACACCTACACTGTGAAAAAAACTGCGGGGTGCTGCAGCCACCATAGAGATATTGAACGGCCGCTTATCAGGCCTTGCCGTTTAAAACTGACAAGTGCAATACGAACATTGTGCGCTCCTAAATATGTCCGCCAAGTGATACAAAGCCATGTGCCACAGAGAGCTCAAATTTCAAATTAAACCTCTTTTGTCCTTTTCCTAGAGGGCACCATGCCCCAAAATGGGGCTATGACGTACGACTCCGAATGCACCTATGTGGATGAACGTGCCATGCCCTGCATCTAGGACAGGCTTTATGTACGGCGGGTGAGGAGAACAGGAGAACATTGAGGCTCTCAGGCACAGCATTAAAGGAGCAGTGACATCAACTTGACGCATGTCGCGTTTTTTGCGTCAACGCGTAGTTATCGATCCCCTAGTAACGATTCGGTAGTAATCATGCAACAGAGGGATGAATTATGTGTAATATCGACTAGTATGACTAGTATCGAACCGAATTCAATACAGGTGCAAAGCCCACCAATTTTCAGCACCACCAAGCAATTACCTCCCACCGTCAAGCCCCAACTGATCCTGTGGCCACATGAAATGGTGACACGATCTTCAGTTGACATTTCGTCTGCTCGACGCACGCGCATATAAGCATGTCATTGACACCACCCCTTTGTCATCGCCACCGTCACCAGCGTCCACAAGCGATGATGAAAACACTAAAGAATATATTAAGAAATTGCAGCGAAGCGAATCATTTTGGGTTTGATCCTCTTAGCAGTGGTTCTGCAATCAACGCTGGACCGAGCAGCGATGAGACAGCTGGAAATGCACGCTTGGGCCATGCTGGTTGGTAAGACATATAAACGCTGTGTGCGTGTTACTTGTTTGCAATGACCGTAGCTTCGAATAATCACAATTGCACTCGCGACTCCACAACAAATCACCCGAAGCGGCACAATGAAAATGCAAGACTCACACGAACACACTGCACGAACCAAGCAAAACAAAGCAAGTGAAGCCATTGCTAGGCAGCCAGGTGTTGCCGCCAGATGGTATAAACACCGCGATGACAACACTGAAACTGTCGTCGTCCCTGCTCGCTCATCGTCACTTGGCACCTGAGGCGTGGCCTATGAGACTGCTGAACATGTGAAACTATTGTCAATGTCTCATGGCCGGGAACGCGTCGATGAGCCTTGGAGGCTCTTTGCGCTATAAACAGAATAACTTCTACGTAACAGACATGATTAATACTTCGTTAAAAAAACTCATGCATACCAAGCATTCGAATGAATGCCACATTTTGAGTTTCAAATTTTGTGTCACTTCTCCTTTAACTCGTGAGAAAGAAACAAAGCACATTACACCCACGTGTGTGCGACATGCTGATATGTGTGTCTCACGTGACCATCAGACTTCTGGTATCATAAAGGATGAGAAGGAGTTCGGCTTGCAAAAGATGCTCCTCACATCATGGTTGCTCACTGCTTCAAAATATTGCTTGTAATAAACAAATTCGAATAATTCTTTCAGTATGACAATCTCTATAGGGCACATAACTTTCAGTGCATGACTAAATGTTGCTATGCGGCTTTAAGTAAAAAGCGAGTTATACTCGTAAGTCACAAAAACTCTACAGGACACATGACTCACAGCACAATAAGGAAAAAAAATTATTTAGTCTGTACTAGTAGATCAGCCTATCAAAATAAAAAAAAATAACAACTCTTCCCACATGAAGAAACCAGGCAGGTTTAGTGAGAAAATACATACGCAACAAAAATAAACTCCCGTATATATTTTGAGCTTTTGTTTCTCAGAGCCGAGGCGATGTCACGAACAGCTCTTAAGCTGTTCGTGACCTCTACGATTCACCTAAGTAAGGCCTTTGGACCTCTATGATTGTACTGGCACTCATAATCACACTGCGCATGCATGAGATCAAGGTACCAAAAGTGCTGTCTCATGAAAGCTAGTGGCTCCTTCCCACTCTCATTACGCTTCACTGCATCACACTACTGTATTGCAGCAGGGTTAACTTAAAAAAAAGCGCTAATTAAAAAAAATTTTCTTGCTTGTATAAAAATTTGCTTGAACGAAAACAGTATAAAATATTACTTGAATAAAACAATGACATGGTATGCAGAGCCATACGGGAAGTTTTCGCTACAGAAACAAACAATTGTTCGCTCACATGTGCACGTGCTATTGCAAGTTCCTTATCGTACCAACATGTCACACCGTAATTAACAGTAAGTAACAAAAGCCATATGGCAATATGGCACAGCAGCTGTACTACTTTGAATTCACGAAGAACTATAGGTGCCCTTGCCCCTTTTTCATTGGTGTGGAAAAAAGGGAGGGCATTGCGACTTGATTTGATTGATATGTGGGGTTTAACGTCCCAAAACCACCATGTGATTATGAGAGACGCCATAGAGGAGGACTCCGGATATTTCGACCACCTGGGTTTCTTTAACAAGCACCCAAATGTGAGCAAGCAGGCCTACAGCATTCTCGGCTCCAACAACAATGCAGCCACCGCAGCCAAGTACTTTAGCCACTAGGCCACCGCGACAGGGAATCATTGAGACTTTTTTGTAAAAACTGTTGGGATTCCTTAAGTTCAAGAAATCGTAAAACCACTATTCCTTGTCATTAAGTAATTAAAAAAGAAACAGCCCTGGGGGTTGCCAAGCAGTAGGAGCGGCAGCGTATTGTGTTCTTTTGTGCATTCTTTGGTTTGTCAGCTGGAGTACAAGAAAAGACGCCATAGCTTGGGGCCCTAATGGCTTGAGGGCCCTGGTAGTGATATATTTTCATTTTTTTGCAATGGCGTATGGATTAGGATTGCGGCAGTGGTTGAGTGGTCAGAGCACCTATCTACAAACAGGGAGGTACAGAGCTCGATTCTCAGTGCCACAAGGCATGCACCAGTTTTCGTACTGAAGAGGGATACCTTTGACCTGGTGCTCGGGATGGTGGGTACCCGTTTCCTGAGAAGGTGGTCTCTCTTTCTCTATCTTTCTTCATTACTCCCCCACCCCCCTTCTTTTATTAATGCTGAACCATGCTCCTTTAAAGGACCAGTAAACAACCCCGAGGTTCAAAAATTGGAATGAAGGAAAATATGCGCACTTTTGCAATGTGCGCATGCTGCCGTAGGAATTTTGCGACTATGGGCGATAATAAGAAAGTTACAGGGGTTAGAACATCCGTTTCAGCTGGTCTTAAGTTTTGGTGCAGCGTTGCCAGTCTTCTCCACCTTAGCAAGAGAAAGGAGTAGCCCGTTGTCATGACTCCACCCACTTCGGCAACGTGACACGTCAGCAATACGTCCTTGGCTGCATGCCAAGGAATGAGCAAGGCTTCCCCCCCCCCCATGATGAGCACGTCATAGCAGCATGAGGAAGAGGTGTGGGGCGTAGAGCACCCTTCTCCTAGTGGTAAAATAGACGCCTCTTCACGTCGGAGGCTTTTGTTCTAGCAATACTACTTCTCCTGGTAGTCTTAGGTTCTACAAAACGGCAGAGGGCAATACAGGAAAATGAAAATGCTGACTGCAAGGCTGAATTTTCATTTTCATCACTGAAGGGTCAAGGCGCCATTTCGTATGACAGAGCACTAATTGAGAAGCTGAGTGATGCGTGAAGTTGCCCTTGAGCATGCTCGCGCCACTGCACATACAAGGCGAATTAGACAGGTGCGGGAATTGTTTTTCGAGATGGAGGGTCTGCACGGAGTGTGGGGCACTAATATTCGGAAAATCTGATCGCCACGGTCTACTGCCCGAATGGGCGAGCTTGTTGGGGGAAAAAAACTAGGAGGCTGTTTAGTGGCCTTTTAAGAGTTGCAAAAGCATGCATCTACGCTCTCCATAAACAGCCACTGCCACTACTAGGGAATCCATTAGTAATGTTCCTTTAAATGTGATGCTCTTCACACTTGAGATGCACTCCACTCACGAGTTCAGGCACAAGGGGGTCGTCAGGATTTGGCTGAGCCAGCAGGGCATGCAGTGAGAGCAGGACGACTTTGAGGTTCAGGGATGGGCGCCAGCGACCCTGCACAGAGCACGCCATGACAGGGGGTCACAAGGATACCCAAAGCAAGCATTTTTTAGGGCTAGGCTGCACGTAAAGGCACACACAGAACCCTGTGACAAAACAATCAAGTGCATCAAAGGTTCCGCACACTGACAAAACCACTAACAACAAGAACAACAACAAAAAAGAAAACATTTTTTACAAATATTTTAGGCTCCGTTGCAAGCATCACTTCCCTTGGTCATACCACTAGTATAGGGACTCACTATTTTCATCACACTTGCTCCGCCTAAAGGGGAACTCCAGTGCATTTCCAACCATAGGTAATGCCATTTTGAAATAAACGTAAACATTTTGACAGCAATCTGTCTGGCTGGGTAGAAAAGTTTAGAAAATTGAAAATCGCTCCAGCCACAGTTCAAAAAACTGCAATGTGAGCATGTGCCGCTCGTGGGCATGCTCACATTGCAGCGGCACCGTTCGTGAGCATGCGCCGCTCGTGGGGCAAACACCAACCCACATACGCGACACCAGCCACTTCTTGGAGCGCATGAGAGATGTGACCGTGAGCAGCGATGAGTGCTTCGTCTCGTTCGACGTCGTATCCCTGTTCACCAGTGTGCCCGTAGCACTAGCGGTATCTAGCGCACGAGCAGCGTTGAACCAAGACGAGCTCTTGGATGAAAGAACCTGCCTGGGCGTCGGCGAACTCTGTCGCCTACTGGAATACTGCCTCAAGGGGACGTATTTCAGCGTCAACGGGAGCTTCTACAGACAAGCCAGCGGGACCGCGATGGGAGCGGCGATCTCCGTTACGGCTGCGAACCTCACAATGGAACACATAGAAGAGACGGCACTGGGCTCCTTTATTGACAGGCCGAAAGTATTTGTGAGGTACGTGGATGACTGTTTTTGCATAATAAAGAAGGCAGCAGTAGACAGCTTCCTCGAACATCTAAACTCCATCGACCAAGCGATACAGTTCACGGTGGAACGAGAGCGAGACGGGGCGCTTCCGTTTCTCGATGTTTTAGTCAGACGACAGGGCGAGCGCATGACCTTTTCGGTGTATAGAAAGCCAACTCACACCGGCAGGTATTTGCATTTTTCGTCCTGTCATCCAACTGCCCACAAAGCTTCAGTGGTTTCGGCACTCCTCTCACGTGCACGAGTAATCTGCACATCGGAAGGTGAGAGGAAGAAAGAAGAAAAGAGGATTGTCGCCGAGCTACGAAGGAATGGCTACACAGAAGCGTTCATCCGCCGGGCGTCACGCCGTTTGTCGAGACGACAACCACCGCACCGCGGAAAGACACCTGCAAGCGACACACCGCCCGACCCCCCTTTCCGCCCTGGCCACACCACCGCACACGAGAGAAACGAAGACGCCGAACAACCGCGTCGCCATTCCATATGTGCCGGGCATAAGTGAACAGCTCTCGAGAATCCTAGGAAAAGCCGGGGTCACGGTAATCCATAAACCTGTTTCGACGCTCGCTCGCTTGCTACCGCGGCCGAAAGACCGACCCCCGAGAGAGCTACACCCGGGCGTTGTCTACAAAGTGTCGTGTTCTGGATGTCCAGCCTGCTACATAGGCGAGAGCAAGTGCTTCCCGGAAAGAATGCGCCAACACAAGAACGACGTCAGGAAGATGGAAGTGCAACGTAGCGCTCTGGCGGAGCACTGCGAGAAGCACGACCATAAAATTGACTTAGACGGCGCTTCTGTTATTGAAACAGAACGGAATTCGGTAAAGAGGCTCTTGCTCGAGTCTTGGCACATTCAGCATACGCCTGCCAACGTGAACCGCTCGCTGGGAACAATGCCTTCGGTGTACGTTCACGGTCTCCGAAACGTGGTGGAAAGGGAAAGCCGGAGCCGTGGTGAGAGAACACGACGCGACAACACTTCCATGACCAAGACAGTCACCCCCTGAGGAAGGGACCGAGTCGGTCTCGAAACGTCGGGCTCTCTTTGAACTGTGGCTGGAGCAATTTTCAATTTTCTAAACATTTTAAATAGCATCAACAGTCCTGTAACAGCTAGAGTGGTTCATTTTGCTGAGAGACTAGTCAATAATTTTGCTGCTCTACTATTTCTGGCACATTCCATAGGATGTGTTTAAACCAACGTTAACGGCTACACCAAGGGACTTGACGTAGCGCACGAAAGGTACAGGCGCGACCGCTGCTGCAGGTAACACGGCTCGCACCCACGTGGTCCGTGCGAAATGTCCGTCGAGGAGTTCCAATGAGCGCGGCTCCCAGCTGCGTGTTACCTCTAACAGTGGCCGAGAGAAAATGCACAAGCTGCAAGAGAAGTTTGTCAGCGAACTTAATTAATTAGGCCAGTTGGTTCTGTAAATCAACGATGTGGGTATACTTTTTTGTAGACGCAAACAGGGAATTGACAGCGGCACACCTGTCTTTGCCCTATGCACGCCTTCAAAGCGCACCAAAATTGTCGATATGCAGCAGAAGATTTGTTTTATCCATAGTGAAGTTGTAGAATTCAGCTTTTCGACTCGACTGAAAACCTGCCTTCTGTCGAACCACGAACATATTTGTGCTTTCGTCTAATCACACAACCTCAGGATAAAACGCTTATTTCTACGCCTGTGTCACACCGGGCACTTTTTCTAGAGATCAGCGATGATCAGAAACATTCATAATCCGAAGTGTTTGTGTGACTGAGAAATTATAAAATTTATTGATTATGCGATGATGTCAACTGTGGCTGGGTCACGCAAACTATTATGGCTTACTCACGAGTAAACCAGACTTTCTACGTTCCATGTTCCCATAGAAAGATAAATGAGTTAAAAGGCGACGATGTTAGCGACAGAAAGACAGGCAATAAGTCATTTGCTCGCACAGTTGAGAGCCCACTCACTGGAGTCGCTTTAAAAGAAAATTCGAATACAAGGACAACACAATGTGAACACTGTGACGTACACTGCACAGCGATTCATGTTGAGGGTGGCTACTTGGTGTCCCACATTGTTTCAAATATTACACATCAATGAAGTCGCTGAAACACCCTTGCGATGAAGTTTCAGTGTTAGTTTTCACATTGTGCTACTTATTTCAGGTGTCACTACACACATATTTGCCACGGGTGGAGGACGACAGTGACCGATGTGTTCTCAGTAACTGGGGGTGCTTCCATTAGTCTAACGTCTGAGTGTTGCCTCTGTGCCATTAATTGACGCCGAGCTTCACATTGCCTTTAATGAAGCGGGCAAAACAAACCTGTGCACTCTTAGAGGGAATCCAGTTTTCTCGCGTGATCACTGCAATGCAGGCATTCTTTCTATCGCCATTGGTCGGAAAACAAAAGTTTTCACTAGCACGTGAAATTAGTTCAGGCTTGCAGACTGCATCCTGGCTCGACACAGCATGTGCTCGAGTTGCGAGCGTTTCATTGTAATAATTTTATCCGCATAGAACATAGGAATACAAGCAGCCGCGGCCAGCAACGAAGGCGAAAACTAAGTAAAAACAAGCCGAACCGGAAATTTCCAGGGCTGTTTCACGCGAACGCACAATGTTGCCAGAGACCGGAAAGCGCTGGCTTTCGAAATCGTCCATACGCCACCACGACTGGCCAGGCTGTAAACGTAGCACAGGTGCTTCTATCACGTGAAAAGAAAGTTGGCGATGTCATCCAATGCGGAATCAAGCTGTGCACTGACAAGTTGAGTGATGACTGCAGCTGCTGTTCTAGTGCAGAAGCATCGCCTTCCGATTTCGACCCGCCGACGTGTGAAGCATGTCACATGCCCCGAATCGATCTCCTCGTTGCTCAATATTGTGCATGCTTAGTGCAAGACCCTATGTTAATAATGCCTAACATTATATGCAGCTAACAATGCCGAACTCTGCTTGCGTCGTCATCGCCTCGTAGAAGAAAGCACGTGCTGCATCCGTCTGCTGGGTGAGGCAGGGTTTTGAAAAATAGTAGGAACTTACATCACATACACAGGGTGGCCTGCGTTTCCAAGAGTGATTACAGATTTGGCTACCAATTTTTAAAGTTCATTTTCTAGAAAGCTACATGACCTACGGTTGTATGATTTGGCACATATTACCAAATATAGATGAGAATACATATATATGCAAAGTCTTATTGAAGTCGGTAAATATTAAAAAAAATCGCCGGAGTTCCCCTTTAGCAATCTTACTGAACCAAGCCAACCAAAGTGGAAACTTGTTTGTTATTTTTCAAGTTTTCTGGAAATGTCTCATCCCTTCTAGACTCAAGGTTTACCTGCTCTAAATAACTTATCTTGAGGCATTTTTCCGCAGTGAGTACTCATGCCCAACTATTTGCTTCCTAGCAAGTATTTAGGGACGAGTTTTATCCTGTGGAGAAGCGTTTTCTTCCAAATACACTTGTGGGTTATTAAATAACATGTTCATCGAAAACGTAATGTAAGATCCATGTGAAATTGCACCGAAGTGGTTTAATATTTTCAGCATCAGTTTCGAAGAAAACCGACACTAATTTGGTCTCAAACGCTAAGACCATTGCATATTGGCAAATGAGACAAAGTACCTGCTATATTAGGTGTCCTATGAATACTGCGAGTTGTGTCAGTAGTTTACATAAATGACAGAATAATAGATAATAGAAAACTGGATCCAATAAGGACAAAATTACATAGCATGATCACTTCATCGACCAGTGCATCTTTTCACTTCGAATGCATGTCGTGACTTGATGTCCCTTTTCTGAGACTAGTGACCCTAGGTATTTTGTTATTGATAGCCGAGGGGTGCTGCTTGTCTCCAAATAGCAATTGAACACGATAGCCTGGTCGCAGTATCAACATGGCCACATACCACGCAAATGCCATCTTACACCTCCATCCCAGCGTAGAGAACAGAGAGGCAGCTTTTGCAATGACAAGCTGATTCAGTTTTTAACTGATACACACAAACAAAGGACGGGCTGGTCATGTTCAGTAGCTCACGAGTCGAGAATCCGAACTAACACGAGAAACACTTGTGTCTGAACTGTGTTCGAGTCTCAAGAGACTATAGCAAAAGACAACAATTCGTCGTCAACCTACTGCTTTAGTATGGCTCACCTTGGGTGGCATCTGGAGAACATCTAGGCAGATGCGGCCTGTAGAGTCCACGTTGGGGTGGTACACTGGTGTCTGGAACACTGCTACGGGTGCCTCAAATGGGTACCTGAATATTGTACCCTGTATTTCAGTTTTGAACACTGCTACGGGTGCCTCAAATGGGTACCTGCACAATGTACTCATTATTTCCATTTTGAACACTGCTATGTGTGCCTGAAATGGGTACCCGCACAGTGTACCCATTATTCTCATTTTGAACACCGCCACAGGTGCCTCAAACGGGTACCTGCACAGTGTAACTATTATTTTCGTTTTGACACTGCTATGAATGCCTGAAATGGGTACCTGTAGTGTACCCATTATTTCAGTTTTGAATACTACTATGGGTGCCTCAAACGGGTACCTGCAGGGGTGTACCTATTATTTTCGTTTTGAACACTGCTACGGGTGCCTCAAGTGGGTACCTATATAGTGTACCCGTTATTTATTTTCTTATTATTGAACACTGTGAGCTGTAGAAAACCCTTAACGGAGTAAAAATTAGTAAAATATAGGTAGAACTTTCAACAAAACACAATCAAAACAGTTATTCCACTCTCAGTATTTCGTAAGACACAGCACAATGCGCTGTTTTTCATCATTCAGCACTCAAGCTATGGCACATATGTAAACATCAATGAAATATGTAAACATTTTGCTCAGCAGGCTGCCTGAAGCTGCTGAGGCTTTGGGCACTTTTTCAAAATAATGTAGCACTGTTTCATATGTTATAGAGGTCTCTATGGCTGTGCAGGCTGCCACCAAATGATTACTGGCCAGAAAACTAACTTATACTAATTATCGCCCATTGAAAAACTATTCGAGGCACCTGGCTGTCGGGAGATACTTTCCAATTATGCTAGTGATTTGCTAATACAGCTGTCTGCCGGCTGCCCGTGCTTCGAGCAGCTGCAAATTATTGATTAGCTCTAAGGCATCCCTAAAATTTAGCTTTGGCTTCTCTAAAAGGCCAACTCGATATTTCGAGATCAATGGATCTCCATAAAACATTCCCTTGCACATTTCCATTACGTGTCCCCAATTCCAGGCTGGAGGGATATGCAGATTCTTTACAAATTAATTTTATAGATTGCCCGGACTCTCCCAACTGGCTTCCCACAATTATTGGCAAAATTGTGTTTGACAACATCTCCATCAAAATGACGCAAGCGCCCGAACCAAGGTGCCACTACATTGTCTCCTGTTCACAAGGCAACAACTGAGTGTGTTGTTTAGCCAATGCTTCATTGGTTTGGCGTGCCAACTTCAGTTCGTTGTGAGCCAGAGTGCGAGAAATGGCAAGTGGTGTTACAAAACACTCAGAGCTAACGATCACCCTTCATCTAGATATTAGAATGTTTTAAATAGCAGTGCCAGTTCACCACAGGGAAACTGTGCTAATACTTTACTGGATGGAGAGTGCCCATGCGCAAACATTACAGAAATGTGCTAAGCGTGGCCATTACCATACAAACACACTTTCTACAATGTATACAGGGTGCAACGTGACAAAGACTAGCGTGTCGTGTGAAAGGTGGCTTGTACATGACGTATATTAAATTCTTTCAAGTCTGCCAGCGCAATTTTAAACACCGCTATTGCCAAACTTCTAATAGCGATATTGCGAAGCTTCAGTTAGTCCGCAAACTCTCCAGCGATAGTGCCACCAGCACGTAGTGGGTCGACAGCAAGAGCGGCTTTCAATCTGGAGAAAAAAGAAGATCCCGTGCTTCTTCTCTGCTCGAGAGCCAGCCACAACTGACGCATCCTCCTAGAGATTGCTACCCGGTGCTTTAATAAATCCCCCAGTACTTGTGACTCATCATGACAAACTGGTGGAGGTGCTGGGTAGTCTCACGGATGCTGCAGACCCCCCCCAGGAAGCCGTGAGACGAGTCCAGTGCCAATCAATACTCCCGTGCATCGGAACAGCCGCCGAATCAGGGGATTGCCTCCGGAAATCGACAATAGGGGAGACCCACGCCGAGGGAGGCGCTGCGGAGCGTGGCGCTGTCAGTCAATGCGGGGAGAAAACTCGTTACTCGAGTCTTCGCTTCTCCGCTGTCCCATTCAACCTGCCTTGAAAACGCGTTTCTTTGCTCGCGCGCTGCACACGTTCTGCACGGGTTTTTGAGAGTTTCGCGTCGCGTGCGGTGCGCTCTGTCCGCATTTATTAGGATATCGCAATTGAGGATTTTTTTTTTGTGGCAGCAATTTAGTAAAAGGGCAGCGAAGCAAGTTGTAGCAGACGACGCCGTCCTCGTCAGAGCGAAGTGCGTTTCGCAAGTGAAAGACGACGCTGTTTACGACGTTAGAGGTGAATAAAACTTTCTGTACGTTCATTATTATATACTTGTTTTATTTGGTTTACTCTGTGTACTTTGCACTGTGTTTGTTCCTGGATGGATGGGTAAGGCCGCTTCTCGTGCTTTAGGTTAAGCGGTTCTTGCACTGTGACTACTATTAGTTGGGATACCTTAATTTACTAGCACCTACCCAAGTTATCATGCGGTGTATACACGACACTTCAAAAATAAATGGTCTATTTGGGGCTTTTTTCTGACCCACAACAATAATTGACATCTATCTCGCGTGTCTTTCCTTGCATTATCACCGTTCTCATCGCGGGTACTTTGAGTTCACGAACAGCGTGCGTACCATCATGATTAGCGCCCAGATTTCAGAGAAACTTTTTTGTGTGTGTCTAATCTGCAGGGGAAGAGCGCATTGCTATAAAGGCATTTTATCTTGGTCACGTATCAAAAATGCACAGTGTTGTTCGGACTGCCCCTGTACACTCAGTAACCACTAGTTCACTGTATCTGCCAACGGACGTGCAACAACGGCTAATGCATTTTTTTCTTTTTTTCATAGTTGCCCAGGCTTTCGGCAACCACACACTTCTGTCGGCGCTACGTAGATTTAAAAATATATAACAACACATTACCAATACCACATGTGCACACAACTTCAACTACTACGTCCCCAACAATATCGAATAATAGTAGCAGCATAAAATATTTATTCACTATTTTTTAACAGTGCTCTAAAGACGGGCGTTGAAAAATCTATACTTTTAAGATGGGGACGTGCATCTCCCAGTAACTCGATAGATTAGAGAAACGGTGACGCTGGAATTAACACACGTAATTTTGAATGTATTGTGCGCGTGCTAATGTTTATGAAAAAAAATTGTTTACATACTTTTTTCGGCGCACTGCTTTAATCCATTTCTGTCGTCTGCTTGTTTCGTACCATCGGTTTGGGAATCGGTAGAATTTCACTGGTGGAGTCGACCTCTTCGTGTTTGCATGGTTATTGTGACAGTTGACGACGCAGCGATGTCACCCCCTTTTCTGTTGGGGTGACATCGCGGAACGAGGGACGTTTCACGTGCAGCGCGTGCTTCGCAAATGCGTGGAAGCCAAAGGGAGCGGAAGGGTCGGAAGACTCTATTGTTGTGCGCTTTTTCTGGCAGGGGAAAGGCAAGCGCTGGCGTCGCCGGGCAAACTTGAGCGGGTCTCCCCTATACTGCTTCAACCACGTTGACAAACATGACTAGCGCTTCAGTGAAAACCTGGTCAACAGGCACGGGAAGCACGACGTCGAACCGCTATACGTTGGAAAGCCCACTGGCACCGGCGACGTTCCATGGCACGGAGCACAAGGACGTTGAGGACTGGTTGGCGGACTTCGAGCGTTTAGCCACCTTGAATCAGTGGGGTAACGCGGCGAAACTGGGTCGTGTCTATTTCTATCTCGAAGACGGGGCACGTACGTGGTATCAAAAACCGAGAGGAGCAGCTGACGACGTGGCCCGAATTCTCTCGTAGACTTTTGCAGACCTATGCCAGTGCTGATCGCCAAGAACGAGCTGAACGAGCTATTCTGGCCCGCGTCCAGTTGCCAAACGAAACTGTGACCACGTACGTCGAAGACATGACGCGCCTCTTCCGACGGGCTGATTCAAGAATGACGGAGGACAAGAAGTTGCGTCACTTGATGTGCGGTGTCAAGGACCAGCTTTTTGCCGGCCTCGTGCGCAGCCCTCCGAAGACGGTCGCAGAGTTCTTGTCCGAAGCCGTGACAATGGAAAAAATGCTGCAGCAGCGATCCAACCAATACGACAGGCAAGTCAGTGGCATGTCTACTGCCGACATTTTCACCGCCACTAGAACCAGCAACAACTGTCTACGTGAACTCATCCGTGATATAGTACGTGAAGAGTTGCAAAAGGCTGGTGTAACACCTAATCCTACGGTTAGCTCAATTGCAACTGTGATCAAGGATGAGCTGCACCAGGCCCTCCGGAACACCTTGCTTCCTGATACAGCTGCACCAGCTCCTGCTGAATACCGCCGTGAGACAACCTACGCGGAAGCCTGGAAACGCCCTGCTGCATCGCCGCCATTACTCGTCCATCCTGTTCCTGCTGTTGTACTCCAGTCAGCACAGCACATACCGTACTACGAAGGCACGTACATGCCACCGCCTTTGCCCTTTGTCCCTGGCACTCCTGTCGCACAACGTTCGGTGCCACCAGTTCAGTACATCGACGATCGGCGCACGTCTCCTCGGAAGTCTGATGTTTAGCGCACACCTGATCGCCGGCCTCTGTGCTTTCACTGTGGAGAAGCTGATCACTTGTACCGCCAGTGCCCATATCGCCGTCTTGGACTTCGCGGCTTCTCTGCATACTCACCGCCACCCCGTTACGGCCTGAGACCGCGCGAAATCGAAAACTACCTCGCCCAGCAGCATGCACCACCGTCTGCCGGGCGCCAGTCGCGCTCGCCATCACCGAGGCGATTTTCATCAACGCCCCAGCGGTATTCTACCACACGATCTCCCAGCCCCCACCGCGAAAACTAGCCCAAGCGACCTCTGGGGGCGGGGTCGCTGAACGTCGAAGCGCTGAAGACCTCCTATTAACGCAGAACCGCACAGAAACCGGTCCGACATCACATACTGCTGCAAAAGATGGCCGACTTTCACTCGACATAGCAGTGACAATTGATGGTTGTGCAGTTAATGCGTTAGTGGACACCGACGCCAACTATTCCATACTGAGCGGGAAACTGACAACGCAGCTGAAGAAAGTCATCACGCCGTGGCACAACTTGCAGA